TGTGTGGTAATTGTTTTGGAATTTCAAGATAAAAGATACAAGCTAAAAGTTGTGTCTATGGAAAGACTAGTCATGGATTTGGAAAGGGGCTAAGATTGGGATCAAGATAAATGGTTATAATTGAGAATGGAAGTGATGGCCAAATTTGAGAGGGCTAATATACGTGTATTTCTTTAAGAAATATGTCAGAATTTGATGATAAAGTTAACTTTTTAGATGTAAAGATGAAGTTGAGGGAAGAGTAAACGATGACTAAGGTATTTTTTAGTGGGGGAAGAAAATGAGAAGGAAGAATGGAATTTTTGTTGAGACCTGCTTGTTTTTTTCAGATTATTTAATACACAGTGATGCAACTGTGATCCCAAAGTGTGCAAAGTTAAATCCTTCAACTGCAGCTGAAAGGTTAGGGCAGGAACGGCACATTTGGGGATGGTGGTGAGTCAGGAATGATGAACAGGTGGCCATCATCAGGGCATCCTCTTTACCAGGGTTAGGGACAGGGGAGTGGCCTGAGGAGAGAATGGAATTATTACTGAGCAAAACAGGGTAGTTGGAAAGACTGGCTAAATGGGGTGTGAAATAATGATTAGTTATGAAATTAATGAGTTTGAGGACATGAAAGCTAAGTGTCCTATAGGAAGCTGGAAATGCAGGAGTGGGATGCAGATATAAGGTCTGAAGATAAAGATTTAGGAGTTATATGTAGAATGAATGTTTTCATATATAGAATGAATGATTTCAACGTCTGGGGGAACGCCCACTGTTGGGACACGGAGAAGAAAAAGAATCAGCAAATGAATCAAGGAACTATGAGGAGCAGAGAGGGGAAGAACTCCCTAAAAATTGAGCGTTAGAAGAAACAAGGTAGCAGAAAGTTTAGAGAAGTAAGGATGAGCAAACTTGATGAATCAAGTATTTGGTATGTATTTCTTGGTTTTTGCAAAAATGTTGGCGATCTTCAAAAGTGCAGTTTCTTTATAGTGATAGATGCAGAATGGAGATTGCTGAAGATTTCTGATAAAATATTTATTAGCAAGTGGAGGCAATCGGTGTATATCACATTTCTAGGAGATTGGTCTCAAAAGGATTGAGGTGAATTGGATTTAAACAAAAATGTATTAGTGTTAGGAATATTAGAATATGGTTGGCAGTGGAAGAAAAGGATGCTGTGGATGAGAGAGTAGAGATGTAAAGGGTTGAAACAAATACAGGAAGAGGTGGTGTCTAGGGGAGATGCGAAGGGATTTGGGAATCCAGAATATTGGTACATGGATTAGCTTGCGAAAGCAAGAGGACTCTTTCCTTACTGGAAGGAAGAATTCTGGGACACTAATATACTGAGTCAAGGTATATTTCCTGTCCATATTCTTTTTTTTTTTCCTTTTTGGTGGCTGGCTGGTACAGGGATTGAACCCTGGACCTTGGTATTATCAGCACCATGTTCTAACCAACTGAGCTAACTGGCTAGCCCTGTTATATTCATAACCTCTTGATTATTGAACTGGGCAGAATTACACATTCTTGAGTGTGGAATGTGAAAGTAAAATAGGCATAAATTATTTACTAATCTTTAATGCATGGATTGGGCTATTTTATATTACCTTAACATTAAATATTTAATATCTTAGTGCTGATAGTCTTTTTCTCACCTAGATTTATTGTTTAGCTAGACTTTAAAATCTTTTTGGAATTCATAGCGTTTTTCCCTAAAAGAGTTAAATTCAGGGTTTGTTTTGCCTTGAAATTGGTCCCTATTTGAAAGGCAACATGAAAGAAGTAGATAAGAGCACCGAGTTCAGAGTTAGATGGTCTGGGTTCAAATCCTGACTCTTCTGTTCTCTAACTATATGACTTTGGCAAGTTACTTAACTTCTTTTTTTTTTTTTTTCCTTTTTGTCTTTTTTCGTGACCGGCAACGGATCGCAAC